TCCAAAAATAAAATTGTGTTTTAGACAAAATAAATGCATAAGTTGAACTGGTGCAAGAACCCCTTCTTTTTCATAAGTGAGCTCCATTTACAGTGTTTGAAGATTGAGATTTTTGCTTTGATGAACATCACATGTGGGATGAGATTGAATTTGGTAAAGCTTAAGATAGAACTAGTTTTTTCAGTGAGCAGAGAATGTATCTCGTACTTGGTACTTGTGATACTTTGTGATGAAAAGGATTCTGATTTGGCTCCGTTCGTTTCAATATAAAATACTTTTCTCAAAAAAAAAAGTGTTTTTCTCAAGTAACATATATATATATATATATATTATTTCTACTTTTTTGATATTTGGCAAAGGTGTTGGACGAGTTTGAGATGGATTCTCTCCGGCAAAACGTGTAAAATAATTAATTTATTTTTGTTATATTTTAATATATTTTTTATTCTTAAATGGAATGGACAGGACTATTCCATCAAAACCGATACCAAGACTTGCAATAAGAGGGTTTTGACCCCTTGGATTATGATAATCAAATCATTAAAAATGAAAGTCGAGCATGCTGCATAGCCGTCTAAATTTTCAGTTTTCATAAAGATGTTCCCAATTTAAATACACTTTCCCTCTCTAAAGTAGAGGTTGTTTGTTTTCATCAGTTAGGCGATTTTGCCACGGTGGTTTGTGGTTCTTTGGGATATTTTCACTCTACTCTCCAGTTCTTGTTGCTTATGGTGTGTATGGCAGGCTGGTAACGTTTGTGGTGATGGTGATCCTCCATGGATTTTGGAGCGTGGATAAATTTTCTGATGAGGGTTTCACCATCTATACTTTTGATCCTGGTATTGGTGCAGTGTCATTTGTTACCCTTCTAGTCCCAATCGTTCGTTTTTTTTTTTTCTTTTTTACTCCATGGGTTATTCGCTGCTTCTTCTTTCTCTCTTTCCATCCGAAGACAATTGATGGTGGGGATGAGGATCGGCATGCAGGATCTCCAAATGTAGGTGATTGCCCTGTTCCGATTTCTAAAAATTGGATGATCGCGATGGTTGGTCTCCTACTCTTGTTTCTGAATGCTCAATTCCTCATTATCACCTACATTTGGGTTATGCTTTTGATACAACACCTACTCCTCTTATGGGCTGTATAGTTTCATTCGCCCAGTTGGACTTGAGTTATTTAAGCCCAATCTTGTTGGCCGGTACCACAAATGCCAACTATAATTTATTTTTAGTTGGGTTAACCAAACAGCAGACCCATTGGCTTCTGGCTTATATTCCGCAAAGTCCACAAGTTCTGTAGTGCAATGGGTAAATGTATTTGTATCCAAGCCCATGCAGACACTTAGGTGCAAAGCCTAGGGCAGTTCGAATATGTACAAAACCCCCATCAAGCAGGTGTGGATTTAAGGGAACCATTGGGTGTTCGAGGCGGGGAGGTATTATGCGCTACTGTCAAGATCTCAATTATGTTTTCTACTCTGCTATATATGTTTGTATCCTTGCATTAGCATAGGATGACTTGTGTACTTTTGTTATGTAATGAAATGTAATGGTGTTTTGTTTTGCCCAAAAAAAAAAAAAAAAAAAAACAAAGAACAAAAGACCCTTGGACCAGATACCAACACATGACATGCCGTTGTGTTTTTTATTTTATTTTATTATTATTATTTTTTGTTTTGGTACCTATAATATTCTAGTAGAAAATTTCTTTAAAGTCCCGCCTTCAAATTATTTGGCTACTTCTCTTGATTGTAGATAGTATCTCCTTCAAATTATACGTTAATATTTGTTTTCTTGACCATATTAAATCTATAAGAATATTTGTTCACCAATTTTAAAAATTATTAACTTATAAGTTTTCATTAAATGGATCTGATTATACATATTTAATTATCACTTACAAAAAATCGCTTAAAAAGTATTGTCAATTCGGAGTCATACCTCATTAAATTATGTTAAATGTGGTGGTTGTATAATGTAATCTAAGTAGCTGGGGGTTTATCTGGTAAGTACAAATCCAAAGCGCGAGTTGTTACGAGTGGTGCCTGATATCATTGCCTTCGCAATGATTAGTAGGGAGTTAGATGTTAAAGGGAAAAGAAAAAAAATATTGGTAAGATTCGAACACAGGCCAAGGTCCCAAACAATTGGGCTAGCACCGCACCTGCCTATATAATAACTATATAACATACTTTAACAAGATAAAAACAGCAATCAAGAGAGAAAAAAAAAGCTTTGAAGACTGTTTTTGATGTAAATGTTTCGCCCATATTTCCTCCAAAGCCGGTTTGTTCAGTTGGCCAGATCTTAGAAAAGCGACTTTTAACTCCATACCATGGTCCAACGTCACCTGCATCCCATGATATGCAATATTAGAGAAAAATATATAAATTGCTAGCATGCTAATTGATTATAGTTTTTTGTGTGCATAAATGTGTCTGGTGTGTGTACGAGAGAGATTTAAAAAAGGAAAAATTTTAGACAAGAAAATTTTTAAGTTGTCAAAGAAAAAATAAAAAGAAAATTTGTTAGATAATGATTAAGGGAATCCAAAATGATCCCCAACACAAATGACCCCTTAACCAAAAACACTTTTTAACGTACCAAGACTAAACAAATAATAACATTTTTACAATTGTTTCTCAATATCTTAATTTCCTTAAACCAAACTACTCAAAGGAAACATTTTGAATAATTTCATCCAAAACTAGAAACGAAAGGTTATTTCTCAACATTTTCAACATTCTCTTCCCAAAGGAATTCATAATTTTAAATTAGACCTTTAATTTTAAGATTAATTTCACTGACACCCTTTTAGGTTTGGCCAAATATCATATTCAAACATATTTCGAAAAATATTATCACTCACATTACAAACGTTTGGTCCGTTCTTCACTCACACACCCCAAAAGTTACTTTTCAGCTGTGATAGACCACTTTTTGAATGTAAAAAGGTATTATTACCCTTTTAACTTGTATTAATTTATTAAAAAATTATTTAATGTATAACCCCCCGGACTCATGTTAAGTGACCAAAATATCTATCACCACCAGTCACACACATATACACTCATCAAGCACCATGATCATCATCCCACCATGGCCACCACCACCAGTAGTCACACACACATATACAGACAGTAACACACCCACATTTATCAACCACAGTTCCACAGCACAATTAAAAACAATTAGACATAAATTTGATTGATTACAATTAAAAATAACTTACAAATGGCTTACAACTAAAACAAGTTTAATAAAAGTTTCAAATTAATATATACATGGCCAAATCCAAATTAGAATAGGAAACTAATTACGTGGGTATGTGACTTTATATAGTATGAGTTTATACAAAATGGGTATTCTAAAACTAATTATGTATATTTGTATGTATATATAGTCTAAACCCATTCTGGGTTCAAACAAAATGGGTATTTTAAAACTAATTATGTGTATGTACATATCTAAAACTAATTATGTATATTTGTATGTATCTATAGTATAAACCCATTATGGGTTCAAACAAAATGAGTATGTAAATATGTATGTGTGTGTGTGTGTGTATATATATATATATATATATAGATAGTATGAACTTAGAATGGTTTATACAAGATCGGTTTATACAGTGAGTGGGTGATGCTTGTGCCATGGTAGTGAGTCACCCATTTCATAAATATATATATAACCCAATAAACCCTCAAATTAACCAAACCCTGCGCGCGCGCGTGTGTATATATATATTTACAAGGAAAGAGAAGGTAATATATGGGAACATATATATACACATCTGTGTGGAGAAAGGTTGTTTGGAAGATGATGATACGGGGAGAGAGAGAGTACATAATGAGGGCAATGTCGTCCTTTTAGATTGATGATATTTTGGAATAACAAGTACTAAAAGTTTTGCGGTAAAATTGTCCTTTAACATATTTTAAAGGGTGTCAGAAAAAGTAAAATTGGACTTAAGTGAGTAATTTTCGAAAGGTGTTTCAAGGTGATATTTGGCTAAATTTGAGCGAGTGTCGAGTGGGTGAAATGCCCACCTCTAGAAAGGCACTGTAGCGTCCTTGAGAGGCGCATAGGATTGAAATGATCAAAATGTGTTGCATGGTATTGGGATACATGGACTCATTAATTTTAAGAAGTGATAAAAATGTCCTTGTTGGTTATGAATTATTGACATACTTGTTATACTTGCACTTGCATTTATGGTCAAATATGATTAACAGGGCACTATGGGCTGTCTAGCTGACTCCTATCATTTTCAGGTCGTGATTGTGAGAAAGCTTGGAGTAGCGAAGACACATTTGACATGAAAAGCTGCAAACTTATAGGAGATAAATACTTTTATTCAAGAGGCCGGGTTTAATAATTGGTTTGAAATAGTGTTACCTTAAGTTCAATTTTGGTGAATTGAGTAATTTGTTTTAATGATACTTGAGGATTAGTGGATCCTGTGAAGTACGGGATATATGTTGTTAATTTATAAGTTGGAATTTTCATAAAGGTTGTTAAGCGTTTTATTTAAATGTAATGAAAAGAAAATTTTACTATTGGTGATTCTTTTTGTATCACACTCCAAATGGTGGGGTGTTTGGTCGGGTTTCGTAACTCGAGAGGGGCGTGACAATGATAGAATGAGTTTAGATGAGTAGTTTATAATTGATGTCTTTCAATATTTCTTTTTTAAAAGATTTGAATCAGTAATTGATAGAGTAGTCAAATTTGGACTTGCAAATGAAATGGACTAAAAGTAATTGATATTCACTCTGGTGCAAACATTCACCATTGAAGAAGAGCACTCGAACGAATAGTGTTCACTAACTCACGCGCTTGTATACAAATCTAAGTACGATGATATTGAAAATTTAAGTATACAACCGTACAATTTTACTGCATCTATTGTCATGCAAATGCTAGAAGTCGTATAATATAGTGGCATATATATGTGATGTGAATGCATGGAAAAAATAATCTGCCAAAAAATGAAATAAATTACCTCTTTCTTGAGTTTTCAATGCCTTTATAACGTTCGTAATGGGGCGAGATAAGGCTCTCCACATAGGTCTTCTTTGCTCTATGCTTAATCAGCGGAATGCCATGCACACTTACATACCTTGATTCCCCTTCCTCAGAATTGTATGCAACCAATTCCATGCCATTTGTATCCAGCAGAACTACACCATCCACCATAGAAATGAAATCGTTTTTTCGACAATATGACCGCAAATTGATTGTTAAAAATTTGGTCCAAGTATCAGTCACCCCATACTCCTTCATCACCCAAACGTTAGTATGGCCAACGTCACATACAAGCATAGCAAGACACCCTCCAAGAACCCCCAAACCACTTGGCTCGTGAGAAGGACATGGTACCACTAGATCCCGGAATTCCTCCCTTGTTAAATCGAATGCACAAATAACATACAATTTGACAGATGGAGAATCTTTCGAACATTTATCAGCTAACCAATGTAACGAACCATTTACATGAACACCAACCGAGAATAACACTCTAGGTTCATAGGGGAAATCATGAACATACCTGAAGGCCCAGGAATCCGTTCTCCATGTATAGAAACTTATATGTGTATACGAACAACACCAGGAAAACCAAACAAGCACCACCTTGTATTCATCTGTAGATGAATCGTACCCAAAACCATACATTCTGAATCTATAGTGGATGGGTTCAATAGAAAATTTGGGTAATTCCTTGAATTCTCTAGTGGATGGGTTCAATAGAAACTTGGGTAGTTGATCCTTATCGGCAACTAAAATCAAGCCGTTGCAAGAACCCAGGATGTACGTACAATGAATATTCGATGGCATGTCGAGCTTGGTTGCAGTGACGTCATGGTTATTGGATGCTTCAGTGCAGTCGACGGAGTAAAGAGAGTCACTGTTGACGATGATCTTCTCACATCTGTTGTTTCGATTGAGGTGTGTTTTGACAAAACGAGGGTCTGTGATTAAACTATGCCATGGGATCGATACGCACTTGAATCGGCAGAGAGACTTCACCGGCAGTCGAGAGAGTATGTCGACCAGGATCTCTTCGGGAAGGTATGTGCCGCTCGACATTATCACACTTCACAGAGGGCGGCTTATTTTCGGAGGCTTATATCTTATTATTTACATAAGCCTAGAACATACCTATATCTATTATTAAATGTGTGCAAATAATTTCAGTGTAATAAAAGAAAATATAATTAAATAAAAATATGTTTAAAGAAAATAAAAAATTTCTATAAAATTTTTCACAAATTAGTCCTTTTATTTTTTATAAAACTCTATCACATTATCTATTTATTATGAGTTTTTTTTTAAATAAAATAAAATCTAATTAAACAATAATATATTTAAAGAAAATAAAATAATTTCTATAAAATTCTACCACAAATTATCTATTTTATTTTCTTTAAACTTTATCACATTAGACAAGAATATATTTAAGGAAAATATATAATAATACATATAAATCAAATATAAAAGGAATTTCAACATTTCAGTATTTATTTTTTAATATAAAAAATATTTATTAATTAATACAAAAAGAGAACTCTGATCACATGTAACCCTTATATTTACTTATTTATCATGAGATTTTTAATAAAAGAAAATATAACTTTAGAATGCTATATTTAAAGAAAATAAAATATAACCTAGGTCTTCCAAAAAACCACAAACCCAATATAATAAGTTTTTATATCAATTTCAATTTAATGTATGATTAGTATAATTGAATTTCTATTTTAAAATTTAATTAAAATTTAATATAATTAAATTTCTATTGTAAATTTAAAATTATACTAAATTTCAAATTACCTAATAAAATTCAAATCTATACTATTATATATATATATATATATATATATATATATAATTTTTTAAATATTACCTAATAAAATTTAAATTACAAATTACCTAATAAAATTCAAATTACCTAAAAGAATTTGTTACTTTGCAAAACTCAAATATTTCTATTAAAATAAAAAAAAAAATTAATTAATAAAATATAAATATTTCAGTATTAATACAAAAAAAAAAAACTTAAAAGAATTTATTACGTTACAAAATTCAAACTCTACCATCAATTTCAAAATATTTCAGTATTTATTTATTAATATAAAAAAATATTTATTAATTAATATAAATAATTTTTTGTAAAGTTTATTGTTACAAGCTTCAGATCAACAATTAGAAGAAAAAAAAAAAATGAAAAAAAAAATTTTATAAGTTACAAAACATTCACCATATATATACATTTTTCTAGTATATATATATATATATATATATATATATATATATATATAGATATATGGGAAAATCTAATTCTCCATATTCCCTGTCCTTATTATTTTTGGAACAAAAAACCTATATTAAAAGTTATCACCTCATTTAAAAAAAAAAAAAATTGCATTTATGTAATTTTGAAAACCAATGAGCCATCATCTATTGGTCTCTCTCAAGTTCTAACTTCTAACCCAGAACCTTTGGAACCAACAACAACTACTGCCCAAAACCTAATTTCCAAATGGATCAGGTAGGCTTGGGTTGCATGATTTATGGGTCTATTCAATGATGCATTGTACATTATTCAAAAATCATAATGTCATATGCACACTCGTGTTTTCACCCATAAACTACTAAATCTCCTAATATACATATTAATAATGTCATAATATATATATATATTTTTTTTTTCTTTTCCTTCCATATTTAATTTATTTTTTGTTTTCTATCATCTTTTTTCTAATCATTCATTTTTATTCTCTTTTGACATTATTATTATTATTATTATTTATATATAAAAAAAAATTACACTTTTATCGGATCGAATATTCATTTATTAACAAATCAGATATGAATTCAGTTACAAAGATTATCGGATCTAGTAAAATGCTTATAAGATTCAGATCCAATCCGATCCAATATGAATCCGACCTGTTAACAAGTCTACTTGCAGGGGGTTGTGGGGTTGGCATGGGGTTGTGGGGTTGGCATGGTGGCGGCTGTTACGAAAATGGGGATGGTGTTGTTGCCTCTGCCGATTGTGGTGTTGCAGTGGCTGTCCGTTGTGGTGGTGGTGGGTAAGTGAAAATTGATAAAAACTTAGAGCATGTTTAGTTTGTAACTTTGAAAACAATTCTTGGAAACTCAGAAATTAAAGAAGAGTTTTCTGATAATTATAAAAAACTGTTATCTAAAAACAGATATTTTTTTTAGTTTTCACAAGATACTTTGTCCAATTAAATTGTCCTACTTCTAGTCCGAATTCTTCTTGTAATTTTCACTTAATTACCTAAATAATTGATATTTTCATTGCACGTTAAAGATACCAAAAATAACATAATTACCTAAATAGTTAATATTTTCTTTGCGCGCTAAATATACCAAAACAAATAAGAAAAGAAGCGTTTTGACTATCCCTCTTTATCTCTCTGATTCCTCCACAGTCGTATCTTTTTTTCCCTTTATTTTTTCTTTTTTTTTTTTTTCTTCATTTGTTCTTTTGTACTAGTTTGTGGTGACATATGTATTTTCTTAATGTTTAGTTATTTAAATCTTTTGAGACACGAATAATATAACTGAGATTATGTCTATTTGAATTCTTGATCGGACATGATTGTGGCGACTGATGTACTTTCGTGACCTTAAAGTCCTTCAAAACTTTTGAAACACAAAATATAAATGATATTTTGTATTGAATACGTGATTTGAAAGCTTATTCATGGAGCTATTTCTGTGTCTCTTTTTTATACATTTCCTTTCTTTTCTTTGTTTATTAAGAACGTATGCCCTTCTCCAATTATGATATAGTATTTGGCATATGACATGCAATTGAATCAACATTGATTTTGGAGTGTGAATTTATGTAAAATAAAGCCTACATTAGCCATGTACTGCCGATAGCCAATACCTACTTTGAAGGTTTTATGCCAAAAATGCCCATTACGATAAATAATCAAGGGTTGAAAATTCACTCAATCATAGACCCACTAAAGGAAAAAGATACTGACAAAATGACAAACTCCATTGAGAATCGAAAAAAACAAAAGCGCTAACATAGAATAAGGGTTTGTTTATGGGATCAATTACATCATCTTGCCACTATAGTACAAAACACACGCGCTCTCTCTAGTTTTCTCAGATGGGTTGTTAGAAGCTTATCTTGCTTACTCGACTCCACACCTACTTCAGAGAACGCCCTCAACCACCATTCCAATCACTCCAGTTTTCTCAAAACCCCAAAATCAAGCTCAATGTTTAAAAATACTGTCACCTTCATAGCCATAGCAACACCTCTCTTCTTCCTCATCTTTTCACCCCCTCCAAGATCTTCCTATCACTCCCTATACATATCAAGTTCTCTTTCAGACAATGCCTCAATATCACGCCACCTTTACACCCTCACTCGAAGACCTCGCGTTGCGGGCTCACAAGCTAACGCCGATGCTGCAGCCTACGTTCTATCCACTCTCACTTCCTGCAACATCCGATCACACATCGTGTCCTATGATGTGCTCCTAACTTATCCAGTTATATATTTTCCTCTTTGATTTTATGAATGAGAGAGAGAGAATTTGTGGAGAAATTAGAGAGAGATCGTCAAAATACTTCTTTCCTTATTTATTTTGATATATTTAGTGCAAAGAATATATTAACTATTTAGGTAATTATGTTATTTTTGGTATTTTTAGCGTGCAATAAAAATATTAATTATTTAGGTAATTACGTGAAAATTACAAGTAAGATTCGGACTAGAAGTAGGTCAATTTAATCAGACAGAGTATCATGATTCTTTGCACAAAATAGTTTTCAAAAAAATGAACCAAGTAGAGTTTTTTGTGCAGTTTTTTAAAAATAGAAAACTATTTTTATATTTACAAACCAAGTAGGGCTTACTTGGTTTGTAACTTTGAAAACAATTTTTTGAGAAATAAAAATCAAAAAAACTGTATGAAAAATAGAAGAAATTTTCTAAGAGTCACCCTCCGTATGACGATCTCCAACAATTATATTTGTTTTTATTTGAAGTTCATCTAGTGGAATAGAGAAATGGATTATTGAGCAGAGAACATATTTTTAGGTTTTGTTTGTGTGTTTTGCTTGAACAGAATCAAGTAAAAGAATTATTTCTAGGCATAACAGCGAAATGAGTTACTTGTGTGTTTTCTTGCTTACCTTCACCCCCAAATGGTCTTTTCTATTTCAGCTCATTAGGTCACGATCCACGAGGAGGAAGGGCACATCGATTAGGTCATGTATGTGATGGAAGAGGAATTTTAAGAAAAATGGTGAATGGTACTTAATTTGTATGATATGTTTGCTTTTGTTCAGGGTAATAATGTTGAGTTAAAGGTCTCTTGGAATAATATTAGATGGATGATATGTGTTGGAAGAGGAAAATAATGAGATGAGATGTCCTTATTTTAGCTAATTTAGGATGGAAGTTTGCATTATCAACAAAGATATATATATATACAAGTGATTCATGAAAATTTGAAATGAAATCAGAATAGATTGCAAGTTAATTATATGTCAATTTCTAAATATATATATATATGGATAGATAAATATAAGTGATTCATGAAAATTTGAAATGAAATCAGAATAGATTGCAAGTTAATTATATGTCAATTTTTAAAACATAGATTGATACAAGTAATCACATTCATTTATTTTTGATAAATATAACTCAATTTAATCTTTTCTTTCTAAATTTCCTAATAAAACCAACATAATTTAATTGTGTAATCAATCTTTTTTAGAAAATTTATTGCATAAAATTAATGCACCATTATGAATAAATATAGCATTAGTGGATTTAGGGGAAAAAATATTTTTACTTTTTTTTGGATAATTTACATGGACCTCCCTTATGGTTTGCCATAATTACACAGACTTTCTATCTGGTTTGGAAATGGGATAATTCCAAAAATAAATGGTGTTGGGGAGGTCAAAGGACAAAAAGATGGAGTCAAATTATAGTTTTCCAAATTAATGAATTTTTTTTAAATACTGACCTGGACATGAATTTACACTGCAGATTATCTTTTGATTCACAAACGGCCCATTTATATTGTTGCGAAATGACCCAACTACCTAGCTCTCCAACAAATCCATAATCAAAACCATTTCAACAATATTTACTTTATGAAATGACCATGGGTTGCTTGAAGGTGAGGGATGAGGAAGGGGCGGCGGAGGAGGAGGACAACGGTGGAGGATGGTGGTGCCGATGTTAGGTGGAAGAAGTGGCACAAATCTGTTGACTATGGAGTGGTCGGACGGTCTGTCCTTGGAATGAACCAAGCTTCCATTAGAGTACACTCAAAGACCCATTTACCAAGTTTTCATGGGGCAACGCAGTTATGGCCCCTAGGAGCCCATTGAAGAAAAACTATGTCAACTCCACGAAACGGTGCCTTGACATCCCCTATCACCACAGCTGACAAGGGGATTACAAATAGAAATTTCTTCAAAAACAAACATTTCCAATGGAGCTAAAAAAAACGAAATGTGAGGGGGATAGATTGGCGCATAAATCTAGAGAAAGAAAGGGAGTTTTATGGAATGAATTTCAACTCTCAGTTCAATGGGTCCACAATCAATCTCATATCCACAATCAATCTCGCTATTTTATCACCACTATTGCTATCATCCTCCATCACAAAAATCAGAAATGGGTTTTTAATTGAAACTACACACAAAAAAAAAAAAACATAACCACCTTCACCCAACAAGAAATTGCTCTAACAAGTCCAGTCCGAATGACTCTGCCAAGTCCTCATTGATGCGAGTCGACGAAGAACGACTTAAATCCGAGAATGACAGGCGGCGAAAGGACGGTAAGGGCTCCACGTTCTTAGAAAAATCCAACCGGGAGGATCGGCACCGGCTAAAATTACCGAAAATTATATTGTCTTCCACTGAACAACAATTTGCAGTGAAGGGTCTCCATGGCTTAGAGTCCTTCATGATTTGTTTTGCCTCTTGATTTTGTTGCAGACATGAGAGGAGGGAGACTCTGCACAGGCTTTTGGGTATGGGTTAGCTTGAATGGGTAGTAAGGTCAATTTGCAACAGTATAGGATGGGCAGTTTGGGAATGAAAAAATGATCTATAATAAAATTCCATGTCCAAGTCAACATTTAAGAAAACTACTCCCTCCGTCTCATAATACATGGCCTGTATGGGGAATTCAATTTTTTATGGTAGTAGACTTTTAATAGTTTTTTTTATTGTATTGATAAGAGTGAATTTTCAAATATGTTCTTACTAAAAGACAAAATAGTGTTTCGTAATTAGTGTAATTATTTAGTTAAAAGGATAGTTTGGGAATGCTATAAAAAATATTACATTCAAATTTGGAATAGGACATATTTTTTGGGACATCCCAAAATAGAAAAATGAACAACTATTTTGGGATGGAGGGAGTACATTAATTTGGAAAACTTGAATTTGACTCTATCTATTTGTCCTTCAAAATACCATTTTTTTGGAATTATCCCTTTGGAAATTTACTTGGACCTCCCCTACAAATGAAAATATCCTACAAGGACCTCCTTCTGTTAGAGTCAATGTCAGTCA